CAATTAGATCTTCTTCGAATTTAGTCTTCGTAGTTTGCACGACACTGAGTTCGGCAGTTAAGCGACTGCGCTCTTCAGCCTCCATTCCTCGGCTAGTCTCCAGGTTCGACAACTCCGCGCGCAACGTCTTCAGGGCCTGTTCGATGTTCTTCTTGTTACTTTCTGCATGCTTCATCTGCTCACGTAGGGAAGAAATGAGTCCTCCGCCAACCTCGATCTTTTTGACATTTCCCAGAATCTCCTGCTCGTGCTCAGCGATCTTCTTCTGCAGGATCTGCTCGTACTTGGAGCCGCGGTCGAGCCTCTTCCTCAGCTCTTCGTTTGCGTTCTCTTTCTTCATGAGCTGATCGCGGAGGGAGGACTCTTCGTGCTTAGCAGTGTCGAGCTTCGCCTCTAGGGTCTCTAGACTCTCTTCTAGAGTAGCGGTGCGTGTTCCGAGACGCTGGAGCTGACTATCCCGCTCCTTGAGCTGTTCTAGCAGACGACTCTTCTCGTTTTGCAATGCTTCAGCCTCCTTCTGTCTGTCTTCGGTGCCCTGCTGCAAGCTGGTTAACTCCTTGTTCTTCATCCGCAGCTTTTGCTTGAGGCCGTCTTCCAGACCCGTCGACACTTCCAATTGCAACCTAGTGGACTCGAGCGTCTCTTGCACCGTGGCGCGAGCCTGCTCCAGTGTGGCGATGCGCGCCTGGTGTTCGGCCATGTCCTTTCCAAGAGCGATCTTGGATGCCTCGAGCGTGTGACCCACCTCCTTGCTCCTCGCACACTCGGCCTGCAGCTCGTTTATGCGACGCCGACAGGCAGACAGGGCGTGGTCGGACTCGCGCTTGGCTCGAATGAGACGGCTGTCAGAGGTGCGTATCTCGGTCGGCGAGGCAAGTCCAGGGGTGAGCTCCCAGTCCGCGTCGTTCCACGACGAAGACGTCGATCGCGGCGGCGTCGAGGGCCCGTTCAGCGTCGTCATGGACAGGCCGGACAGCCGTGTGGTCGGCGATGGGGGAGGAGAAGGGGCACTGCGTGAACGGTCGGCCGGATTCGCATACTGGAGTGTCAGCATCGAAGCCCGCTCCAGCGCCTCGAGTATCTCCTTGTTGCGCCCCTCCTCGATGCGCAGTGCCCTCTTCAGCCCCTCCACGCGCTTCTCCACGTCGCGTCCCTCGAGGTAGTTGCTTTTCCTGCCCTGAGCCAAGCTCCGCGCACTAGACGCTATCTGCCGCTCCTTGACCGATATGTTGACGGCCATGCGGAAGGCCAATCGCCGCAACGATGCGACGGACCGCTTCGCCTCGGCGCCCGCGGCCTGGTGGGCCTTGAGCTCGACTCGGAGCGTGTTGCGCTGCGTCTTCATGTAGTTGAGGTGCGCCCAATTGGATATCGGCGTGAGTCCATCCTCCTTGCCGGCGACCAGCTCTGGCGTCTTTGCACCCTCGACGTCGGGCGGGTTCCGCGAGCACTGTCCCCAGTAGTCTACGAAGCTCTCTGCCATCGAGGACACGGACCGCTCCATGTGCGGAGTGGCAGGCGGCCGCGAGCTGCGTCGTCTCACGATTCCGACGGGCAGCAGCTTCTCAACCGCGGTTCGAGCACGACTGGGTGCTGCAGGGCGCTGATCCCCGTTTGGTGGTCGAAGTTCCGACGCCATGGTATGCGTTCGCTCCAAGGGGTCATGTGTAGGATGTGGGGAGCAGTGGTTCGTGAAGCGTTCAAAGTACTTTGCTGTCGGGCTCGTGGCTGAGCTGTCTGCCACGCGACAGTCGCATGTGTTGGTGTGGATGGCTGCTGTACAATATCCGCTCATCGAATCCGTTGGCAGACTTCACGACTCGCCAGAGGCGAACGGCAGGGATGCAATGGGCGATAAAAATACTACGCGAGCGCGTCAAAAGGAGGGCAAACAGGTATGGACCGACGGCGGCAGAGGGTATCGCAGGACAAGATGGCAAGTGGTGCTAAAGTACCGCAGCGGTGCGCTGGGCGTGCAGCTGCAGCCTCAAACCGACATGACGGCGCTGCACGCTGGGCTGGGGAGGGGAGGGGAGGGGAGGGGAAGGGAGGGTTAAGCACATCAATCTGCGAGCATCTGCGACACGGCCCAGTGGCCGGCAAGCGTTGGCCCAAGTCTCCCGGGCTGGTCCTTGGGCCTCGCCGTGGCATTGCGTCCCGCAGGAATCGTGCCATAGTGGGGTGCACCGAGCGTGACATGCATCTCGCCCGCTGTCTGCGCGAAAATCTCGGGAAGAGTGGCAGGCCGCATGCATGGCTGGATCGTGCATTCCTCGTGGCTTTCCCCGTCTTCTCTCCCTGCCATCATGCTGTGTGACACGAATGTGACTGTTATATCGGGAGGGGTAGCGGCATGCTGGTGGCGCAAGATCGCCTCCATCTCACCACCATCCCAGTTGCGATCTTGCCTGGTACGTGGGATCGCCGGTGAAGAATCCCTGTTTTTGTGACTCGCTGACAAGGGTATGCAAAAGTTAACGAACATCCGAACTTGTCATGCAATGCTTTTCCTTTCATTCGTCCATACCCTACTTGGTGTATTTCTTCTGCAAATGCTTCGCAATCGTCGTGAGCTGGATATTGCTCGTCCCTTCATAGATGGCACCAATCTTGCTGTCCCTAAAGTACTTCTCCGCCAGGCCTTCTCGCACAAAGCCCATGCCACCCATCCACTCAACAGCCTGACCTGACACCCTTCCAGCAACCTGCGAAGACATGAGCTTGGCCATCGCAGCGTCCATGACAAAGTCCTCGCCGGCCTCCTTCTTGCGCGCGGCGTTGTAGACGAGGGCGCGGGCGGCTTGGATCTCGGTCCAGGCTTGGGCGAGCTGGTGTTGCATGCCTTGGAACTCGCCAACGAGCTGGCCAAATTGCTTGCGGTCGTTCCATACGTAGCTGTGATATGTCAGCGCGGTTCACGAGTTAGCTGGTGGATAAACTTACCCTGCGGCATTCTCCCAGGCGCCCAATGCCAGACCAGTCATCTGGGCTGCAATGCCAATACGCCCCTCGTTCAGCAGCCCAATGGCGTACTTGTAGCCCTCAAACTCCTTCCCTAGCAGGTTGTCCCTAGGGATCTCGACGTCGTCAAAGTTGATCACACAAGTACTGCTCGCTTTGATTCCGAGCTTCTTCTCCTTCTTCGCAATCGAGAAGCCGGGTGTGCCCTTCTCGACAATGAACGCTGTAATGCCCTTGTACTTCTTGCTTGGATCGAGATTGGCAAATACGATGAAGAAGTTTGCTTCAACGCTGTTCGTTATCCACATCTTGCTTCCACTAATCTTGTATCCATTCTCTGTTCGTGTCGCCTTGGTGGCGAGCGCAAAGGCGTCTGACCCCGAGACCGGCTCGGACAGACAAAACGAGCCGACCGTATCTGTAGCCAACTTCGGTAGCCATTCCTTCTTGATCTTCTCCGAGCCATACTTTAAAATCGCAGTGTTCACCAATGTGTTATGTACATCGCACATGACGCTAACACTTGGGTCGACCCGCGCTAGCTCCTCAATGGCAATAATGGCAGAGGTGAAATTCATGCCAGCACCACCGTACTCTTCAGGTATCTCAATGCCCATTAAACCTTGTTCGAACAGTGACTCGACCACTGCAGGATCCATGGCTTCTGCCTCGTCCATGTCACGCGCCTTCGGTAGGATTACGTCGTTGGCGAACTTGGACACAGACTCGCCCATCATCATTTCCGTCTCAGAGAGGTGGGTGATGGGCGTTGGGGGAACATCCGAAATGTCCATCTGATCCACAGCTTCGCGCCGTGCGGGCGTCGTGGAGAGGCATCGTATTCTGCAAGACACGGATTAACTTTTTGCCCTGCTCATCTTCACTTGGTACATACTGCGGGGCGGCACGCACAGCTGGACGTAGAGTGCGTGATGAAGCCGTGGCGGTACGTAGGAGCGGCCTGAGTGATCTTGAGAACGATGCCATGGTATATATGTTTGGGTGGATGAGAATGGTCGGAAAGAATGTGCGGGTTCACACAAAGAAGGGATGTTGCCGCTGATGCTGAGCCGAGGCAGGGCAGGATGTCGTTCGGCTCGCAACCGGGGGTCGCGGAGGCCCCACACGCATCACATGTCGGATGCACCCGTGGGCTAGATTCGTTCGCGAAGTATTCTGAAATTTAAATAGTCTCATTGCGCTGATTCATTCTTGGACAAACATACTACAGGCACACTTATGCCTTTACTGTACAACTTGTTCGTGACTGAAGTTCCTTTCTACCGACCGCGTCATTCAGAATCCCTCGCGGAACCGAACCGTTCTGCTTCACACGACCACATGGCCGAAGCTAGCCGCAGATACCTCACAACACATAAAAGGCGTGTAAGTGCTGTATATTAGGTGCTTAGGAGGGGAAATCGAGAGACGTATGTTAGTCGTCCTGCTCCTTAGACTCACAATGCTCCAAGCTCGATAATTAACCTATCTTTTCTTTTCAACGCCTTCACACCTTGCGAACTACACATTTGTTCGATCGCAATGAGCAGTGATCAATACTATAGTTGAGTGAACAAGTCTCACAGAAAGCAACATCATCCCTGAGATGTTTTGATTATGTTAATACTCGGTTTGAACTCCCCATCGAGGTTGAATGGTGTTGTTGTCGTTGTCACTACCTAACCCGACCTCAAAACTCCTTGTTAAGATCTCATATTCTGGTTTCAAGAAGCATGCGTTCCTATACTGCAGATCGAACGGTTCAACAATATGTCGTCACTGTGGTGCAAGAAGCCAATAGCCGATTGTCTAGTTCATCACAGCCGTCTCATTGTGTTGACGAGATATGAGTTGCTCCAATGCGTGACTACCCTTCACTGACCCTTTGACTCACAGCCGTATTATTTCTTGCTTAACTTCAATACTAGCATTCTTCTTTCTCGTATTCTCTCTTGTTGATCCATGCTGCTCCGCACTGCTCAACCAACTATATTTGATATATACCTTCTTATTCGTCGCTCATTCATCAATCAAAAACATCCGTAATAGTACAGTGGCTAGTATGCTCCGCTCTCATGTCAGTGCCGGAGTGACCGGAGTTCGATTCTCCGTTACGGAATTAGGATTCTTTGTGCTTTTTCTTGCTACATCGGCGGTCGATGGAAGGGTGGGATGAAGGGTGCTTATACTTGTTGATATTTTGTATGGGACTACCGGCGACGACGTGATTGAATGGTATAAAAAACCGTTGTGCTCCATAGGCACATGCTGTCACTCTCATGAGTCGCCATCGCTTGGTATGCCAACCTACGTCATGATAGCAAACCGATTCCAGATAACGAAATTGCAGCACTGCCTCGACCCACCCCCACATCCTTTGCTTTTACACCAATAGAGTTAAACCGGGTGTTGAGCACGCTTTCCCCTAACGTACAGCTCAAGAGCAACGTGGATCTCTTTGATTTAGGCACGCCCGCGATGCCCTTTGGGGGCGAAGTTCTTTATGCGTAAGTACACGATTTGTGCCAGCTAGCCTTTTTGCCGCGTTGTGAATGGTACCTTTGGCATACTCAGTCACTCGCGCCCTTGGCTCTGTTATATTACTGACGGCTCGCTATTGAGTGACAGGCGATCCTTCGCTTCCCATGTTACGTTGCAAAGGCATGCATAAACTTTGAAAGAACTCTATCAGGATCCCGGCCTTGACCTAAGTGGCCCAAGCTGATATGTATCCTACAGAAGTTTGAAACACATCTACACGAGCGGAGGTAGATGTTGTTTCATGTATTCAACTTCTCACGACAAGCATCGATAAGAGTTCGGTACAAAATGCTGCAACGAGTTGTTTACAGCATCAGGCGGCAGTGTCGGTTGTATGTGTGGAGCGCCCACCGGACGCTCTTTTCACAGGGTATCCTGAGACTCGAAACGCCTGCTCACTCTGGTTCACTGGGTTTAGCTTCCGATTCCTCTATAAGCCCAGAAGACCCAAATAAAGGTCGTACAAGCGCCTCTCGAATCGATTGATGCGTCGACGTGTAAAGAATGCGGAAAGATGCCAGACAAACAACGACAAGAGCTATTTTATCACACTTAGTTAGTCCTGCTGGCACGTCACTCCCTCAAAGATGGCTTTCACACTTACTGACTGAGATTTCGATTCTTTGCTAGCATACTAACTAGCTTAAGTTTACTGCTCCGTTGTGAGGCGCGGAAGCGGCTCGAACTATAGCAGCAGCCATCACAAACACGGTCAGCGAGAATATACCACCCAGCGCCATCTTAGTGAGTAGTCTTAGATGAATGCGCCAAAGCACATTCGTCGAGAGTGAAATGACTGCAGTCTTTTTAGCTTGTTGGCAACGATCTAGACATCAGACTTACTCGAAAAATCGGTCAGAACATCCAATACCGTAGTGAGCCGGAGGGTAACGGCCTCGAATTCCACGGTACATATTTCTACGCCGTTAGTTACAGGAAGTTTCACCGTGAGCGATGAAGAATATACCGAGCACTCCCGAGCCATCGCGAGTAAGACACTGAAAGTCCGAAGCACAATAACCACCACAAACGCCACACCACAAAACCCCAACACCGCATACCAAGCAATCCTTTGATTTCACAGCTTTTCTCCAAACTTTCTGAAAAAGACTATGAATGAGATCTTGACGATCCATAAGCTAGCATACCCGATAACATGCGCTGCAAAGTTGCATCGCATCAGATACAAGAGCTGGGCCTGGAAGTCTGCGGGCATCTTCATTTGCACGGTGTTTGCGACAGTGAATTCGAAACCGGGGGTATGGGCTATAACGGTCCATATGGACGCGTATATGACTGATAAAAGCTAGGCTAGAATGACAAAGGGGTTGTCGGGTTGGAGGCGGCAGAAGACTTTGAGGCGGATCCGTGTGCGGAGGGTTAGGAGGAGGAGAGATAGGGCTACGCCTGTCGAGAGACTGACCTTAAAGATTGTCAAACTAGGGAACAGTGAGATTACGGATAGGTGGGCTTGCCACTTACTAGTAGCGTTGTCTTTGATACTTGACCAGCGGCTACTTCACCAATTGTAGAGGTTTCGCTGCGTGCGAGCAACAAGGCCGAGATTCGATGCATGGCGAACTTGCGCCCCTAATCTCGTAGGGCTAGACATTATATAAGAGCATAAAATGATACCGTCGCTCGTCTTTAGGATCGCAGCAGCCACGGACGAGTAAAGACGGCTTACGACGCACTCGAAATTCGGGGCGTACAAGGAGTCGACACGGCATTGCATCAAAATATGGGGTCCGAAATGCAATGCAGTCACGATAGCCCCAGCATGATAAGCTCCTTCACCGGTATTTGTGCGCCACACTTTGCATGTTTCGTTGTGTCCAAAACTGCACAATATCGACGAAGTTTTCTTTGCTCTGCGCTGGGACCTATTTCTTAGTTGGCACTATCTTCTGCTGCATTTTCTTAGCCACGCAAAATCCCGCACCAAACTCGTCTGTTTGGATGTTCTCCACATTTCGAAGATTGTCTCCAATCGGGTACATGAGCCTTCCTGTCGATATTCTAGTTGGCCACGACGCTTGACTGAGTGCAGCTTTTGCCAACTCTATAAACATCAGGTCACTTCCTGTAATGACATTAGTGCTGCTTGATGGCTAAGTGTCGCACGCAAACCTTTGGCTCCTATGAGCGTTGTGGCGATGGGTCTGTATTCCGTGTTCCCGGTCACGCGGGATTCGTATGGGATTTGCGCGACTGGGGAAGGTCAATTGATGGGTATGGAAATCTTGGGTATGGGATGCGTACATGGTAAAACGAGCTGCGGCATGTGTAGGACTGGGAATAGGAATTTCTCTCTGAAGGTGTGGGATGTCGACGGTACTCTATGCGACGAATTATCAGCGCCGTAACATATCAAATCGAATGGTTTGGTGTACGCACTCATTCGCACCATCCCCATACTTCGGATTCGCGCTCCAATACGGCATTATCAAAATAGCGTCGGAGAGGCTTTGCGGGTCTTGTGACATGATTTTTTCGTCGAACCATGTTCGGAAGACGCGCATTTATTCGGTGTAGGCTTGGTATTCATTGTCCGTGATTTCTCTTCCGAGGGCCCTATTGTGCTATTAGGAAACGAGATGGTATTGAGGGAGGGGATGCGGACCAGCGGAAATTTACGATTGCACCGACATATGGTTCTTTGTCGAATTTGGTCCGGAAGTCGCTGCGGTATTGGGAGAAGTGGGTGTTGTAGTCTCGACACATGGACCAGAATGCACTCTGTGCAAGTTAGTCAGATTTAGCTCCTTATCTAGCTTTCTGGGTGACTTACCTTCGCCAGATACTCCTTCAATGACTTGCCCTTGGCGGCGGCTGGAGGGCATCGAGTCCATCGCTCTGCAATGATGAGCTCTACTCTTTTTGTGTTGAGGAAATTTTCTAGAAGACAGACAGCTTCTTCAACCATGGCTTGGTGCGTTGGATTGCTATGAGGGAAGAAATCGAGCGGATACAAGATCCTGCTGGGAAACTTCTCCCACTGCGTAAGTGTGTCCAAGGTATTCGCTACGATGTGTTTCAAGTCGTCTAGACTGCGACTGAAATGCCCCACGACATCAAAAGCCTTGTATGTGATGAGAATCTCTCCTACGAAGCGATCACAAGCGGGAATTAGGGACTCACGAAGAGTTGACAGCCACTCCTTCCATCGACGTCGAGTCAAAAGACGGCCGCAACGAAAACAACCCATTACACGTTGCCGGTGCTCGAATACTTCCGGCAGCTGATGATGGTCTGGTCAGTTGGCAATTCTCGACATAGAAGAAGGTTGCTCACAGTCACTACCGACTGAGTAGTCAAGCCAATCGTAACCAGCCAACGCTGCCGCCGCACCTGCGAGCTTCCAGATGGGCTCTGGTACCCATCTCCTCTCGAATTAACCGGACAGTGGAAATCGATCCACTGATCCGTTGGTTCCTCTAACGAGGCGAACGATGTCATCTTGGTCTTTCCCACGATAACTGCACCAAGCTTAATCAACTTCTTAACATAATCAGCACTCTCCCGGTCGGGACCGTAAAGAGCTGTATAATGTCGACTCATCATGGTGGTTTTCACACCGGAGAGCTTGTAGATGTCTTTGAGCGCGATGCGGGCGCCAGCCAGAGGCCATGCGGTTGTTGGTCGCGTGTATAACCGACTCCGTACGGCGATGGTGCGGTGGATGCCATCGGTGGATAGCTCTGTAACGGCTTCGAATCTGGTGGTCAAAGGATCAGTTTGGTTTGAAGAATGTCTGAGGACTAGATAGTCACTTACTGTATGTGACTTCGAGTATCGTAGGGAATGACGCCGAAGATAAAAGTGTCCAGATCATCTGAATAGAGGCGCCATGCTTGATGGATGGAGTGCCCACAGAGGAAGTAGGGACCCGGTGGCCACCGCGAAGAAGGTGATGCGGTAGATTGGTGGATATCTAAGAAATGACCAGGCATCGTTAGGAGTTTACTTCGCAACGCATCGACGATATTACTAGGCTCCTCGCTGTCTACTTGAAGTATGAGAGTACTGCGGAAAGCTTCTTGATAGACGTCGTCGATATCTGCAAAAGCCAAGATCTCTTGAACGATGCAATCAACATCTTTGGGTGCATCATCGCCAGCGAAAGCTTTGATGAGCACGGCGGGAATAACTTTGTTAGATAGACTTCGCCTGGTCACTGTTCCCTACGTTTCGGTAAGCGATCGCATACGTCGGCGTCTTCTCGTGGGTGCGAGAGAGAAGATTACCAAAATTTGTGGGTGGACCAGATACGGAACGCCTGCAACCTCATATCGAAGTGCGCGTGGAAGCGCCATCGCGTCGGCCATATTCGAGGAAATTATGTGTTGACGTTGTAGGTGTATCACACTTTCTAGTACCGTGTGCGTGAGGTGTGGAGGAGAAAAAGTGGGTATTATAGACTCTAGCGTTGCTCTGGCAGTCCATTAACTGTTTGTTTTACAAATTCACCGTCGAATCGTTTGCCTCGATCGGTCGAGATCTGTTCGTGCGCAACAGTACATCAAAATAATGACCGAAATGCTAACGAGACTACAGACTCCAGTGCGCGAAAGGAAT